TATTCTGAAGCTTCATTGTTATACAAACTATAAAATCAGGTATTTGGTGTATACGCTAGCCTGAAGGAAGATCAATAGATATAGATATTTTTAATTCAGGATCATATCCAGTAAGAAACTTGATTATTGGTTGATAAAACTCTTTTTCAAATCAAACTAATAGTTTAACTTGAAGGTTTAAAAAAGGATTGTTAACCCAATTCTTAAATAACTCCTATTTTTTGATATATAATTTTGGAGTATTATTTTGGGCTTTGAGACGAGCCAAAAACTATTCTGTAAATTGTATATAAATGTTTCTTTGCTCTAAGTATTGTTTAGGCAGATAAATTCATAAAACCATTGTGACTAAATAGGCTATTGATATTTAGTTAATTTATATTTGAATCTCTCCTTATAAAACATGCAAATATAATCTGATAGTATATCTATTGGTTTGTCCTTATCATTTTTATCGTAACCATCATGAAAATTCCAGGCTAGGTATAAAAGGTTAGCTGGATGTTCTTTTTGTAAAAATCCACCTGCATTAGACACTTTTCCAAATGTAATTTTCTCAAAATTGTTTATTATAATATGTGAAATATAAATTTCACAAGGAATTTGAAATAGTTTAGACCCACTTATTTTGTTAAATAAAATAACTGCACCTCTAGTTCTACTACTCATATAATTTGTGTTGTCAGAAATACAAACTAAGCATTGTTTCAAATCTATACTAAAATTATTTAGAGTATTATACATTGCTTGCGCTACTGATTTTTCTGTACAACATATCAAGTCTTTCATTTCTAATATGTAAAAATTTGGCTTATTGTTTCTTGAGTTCCAAAATATAAGGCATAGTACAAATATTTTTTGTTGGCCTCGCATTAATTCGTCTACCATTATTCTAATAGTAAAAAAATTAGAAACCTTACTTTACTTAAAAATTAATTTATATTGAGTTCACTAATTTCTTTATTCTACTTGACAATGGCTTGACGTGTAAATGATAAATCTTCTCTTGTTAAAAAACCTAAGATAGTTTGTGTAGCTTGAATAGTACTTCGAAATGATATTTAGTTGATCTGTGATACTTGTGTGATCATACTAATAAATTGAGCTATATATTGATGTTTGTTTTTTATTATTTGTGAAAAAATACTTGCTTTTAAGCTTTATGAGGAAGGCAATAATTTACGGCCAGCAGCAGCACGTACTTTCAAAATATATTGGCTTTGTTTATGCTTATATTGTGACAACGTACCCACTAGCTGTTTAATTATATGGTCCTTTTAGTGTTCAAATGTTCCAATTGATTAATTTTTTTTGCAATTTTTATTATTTTGAATTAGCAAATCTGAATCTTGACCCGCTTTGTAAAGGGATAAATTAATAAAACTTAAAGCCTTATTCTGCAAATAAGGTAAAAGTAATTTTCCCGTATTTGGTCCTTTGGAATATTGCATAATATCAAAAAATGAAACATGGATTTTAATTGATCATTAGACAGTTGTTTGATCATATTAGTCAAATTTTGAAGCATTGTTTGCTTTGTTCTTTGGTTATCAGCAGATTGTACAACACTTTGATGGATTAACTGCAATTTACTATCAGTCGACTGTACAATGCTTTGGTGGATCAACTGCAATTCTTTATCATCCATTTGTATTAACTTTTGATTGATATCATCAATTTGATTTTTACGTTGAGCAGCTCTCCATGCATTTGCTGATGCTTGACCTGCTTTACGTGCTTTAAGTTTTTGCTTGGATATCTTGGGCATTTTGTGATTGTTACAACTAATGTTTTATAAATTACTATTGAGCAATCCATTCTAAATGATTCAACTCATTATCAAGACACAGAATTACCTTGAAACTTTCACAAGATGTTTATGAAAAGTCTAAGAATAAAACTATGTTGAAGGTTCTTTATTAACTCGCAGGTTTTGGGCATTCGTCTTTTAGAATGTTTTAAATTTCTTTAATTAGAACGAAAAATTTTATCTTAAACAGTAATTTATAATTTTATTGAGAATTTCGCAAAAAATCAACATAGTTACTTGAAATAGTTCAGATGCGACGTTTCCGATCGAAAGAAATTAGAAAAATAAGTACACTGTTTGTGTGAATCCTTTAGAAGTTTACGCTTTTCTTTATACTTAGCAATTATATATAAATCATTCGATCGATCATTTTAATTTTACTGATAAAAATGTGATCATAATAAAACAATCAACATAGCTAACATAGTTTTGATTTACTAGTTGAGTTACCACCCTAGTACGTACGTACGTGGCTTAAATTTCACGATATGCATCAAATGGCATTAAGTTTATATATTGTATAAGATGTACAGGTTACTAATTTGTATCCTTATTTCGTATCAAGTTATTGTTTTACATTATGAAAAGGTGTTACGTAAAATTTTTTCACACTATGATCGACAAAGAAATTACCCAATTTCCGCAGTAAATCCGTTACATTTCTATTACTACATCGAAGAGCCTGATTACTACATTTCTCGTCGATATTTGTTACTTCATTATCCACCCTTACGCAATACTTTTCATTTCTTCCCATTACTACATTCTTTCAGTCATTACCTTATCCCCACGACATTCTCGCTTTATTGCTTGATCAATGCATTACTTCATTTTTACTGCACTTATAATAGTAGGCGGATGTATATAAAGAGTAACCTTCGCTAGCAAGTAAAAAGGAGAGATTACAAATAATAGAACAATCTTGTAGATAGAATTCTTGCCTATAAGTAATAACTTGTTCGTACAGCATCTCTAATAAAATGCTTACCCGCATAATTTATGCTGCGCCCAAAGCTAATCTGCTATACACAGATATTGCTCTCCCAATTTTGGGCGTAACATAGGCTTAGCTTCCTAATTCATGCTATACAAGTTATATCTTGACTAAATTGATATTGCTTTAAAGGATGCAATGGTTTGTACGTATATCGCTTTGTCAGCAATTTTAAGCGAAAACATAAGCTTCGCTTCTGCTATACAAACTTTAAATTTCGGCTTGTTTATTTTTGAATTCTCACAGTTGTTAGTTTATATTCCCTTTATTTGCCATGTTCCGTAGTTCGTAGTTTGCTTATTTGATTGCTTTTTTTTATTTATTTTCTATATCTCATTATTTTACATAGATTTATTTATTTATTATTTATCGGACATAATTATCAATTATATTAATAAACTTATTGATAGTTTTATAACAATAATAAATTAATTATATCACCATTGATAAGTCTTATCGCAGTTGTGCACTTCCTAAATTATCTTATACTTAAACAGCATTACGTGCCTGTACACATTACTTCACTCAAGTAGTGATGGGCAACGCGCGGGATTTTTAATGAGATTATCTGGCTTGCATTAGCATATCATCTGGCCTGCATTAACATATCATCCGACCTGCATTAACATAAATAGGCCAATTCCTAATTAGTAATCGATGTACCATCAGAGTAAATTACCATCGGTAAATTACGGTAAATTACTTGGTAATTTACCGAAAGTGTGGTAAATTTACCTTATATTCATAGATCTATCTGCAAATTATATAATTTTATTGGCTAAAAAAATTTAGCCATCAAATCACATGATTTATGTTGCACAAACTTTATCATTCAAAATTAAGGATATCGGCTATATGATTTAGTCGACTAAATCGACTAAACATAGTAATTTACATATAAATTTTTTAGTCGACTAAATCGATTCCTATCCCTATTCAAAATAGCTAAAGGTAAATTTACGGGTAACTTACCGAATAGCTCAGGTAATTTACCACAAAAATTTTAAATTACGGTAATTTAACAACCCTGTGTACAGTACATAAAACACTATGTACGTAGTAGAATTTTTTTTATTTGTTTATCGTTCCACTTATATATACAGAACTGTTATTGTAAATATATTTACTGCAGAAACGATTTCAGCCTATTCAAAGCTAGTTACGATATAAGCTGTAATACTTCAACACAAGCCGAAATATTTCGGTTACATGTAAAATAATACGATGTCCAAAGAAAACTAGACTTTGGCTTCGGCTTTTAAATCTAAAACCTGAATAATTTAGTCTGACATGCTATAAATTTAAATGTCCAGAGTCTGTTTTTCTTAGTATCACTTATATAAATCATCTATTTAGTTCAATGCAAACCTTTTATTTTGACATTACTCATCTTCAATTCAAATTTCAATCTGACGCAACTCGGTCCTCCATTCTAATTTCACGCACAACATATTTATTAAAATATTATAAAGACAAATTGATAAAATCGAGGCAAAATTTGAATTGATAAAAATTTAATAATTATAATTATAAGATTCGATTACTTCTAATTTAAATTATATACGAAATTTCTATATATGTTTTAAAATAGGCAAAATCTAATAAACATTCTTATTAAGAATAAATGCAGTAAAATTTATAAGAAATGATTATTTAATATATATTATTTTTAGCAAAAATTGTATTCCCGGTGATGATCATTAAATATATTTTTATTAATCGTGAGAAATTAAAAAATCTAACCTGTCCAGCAGATCCCGCGTGTAATCCTACGCATCCCGCGCGGGATGTTTAAAAAATCGTGATTTGCCCATCACTACACTCAAGTAATTATCTTACTGAACCTTCATAAGCTTGCTATTAAAATTAATTTGGCCACATAGTTCTTTGCTCACCAAGCTTATTAGTAACAACATAAAGTTCATTGAATGTTGTACTTCAACACTTGACCATAAATCGAGCACAGATTATCATTTTGTAATAATTGAATGGGTAAATGAATTGAAGGATAATGATAATATCGTGATTTATGCAATACTTGAACTTGAACAAGGTTTTAGGTATTATTTATGTATCTTATATATTAAAGAAATGGGTGAGATTCGATCGTTACATAGTGGAGCGAGAAACGCATTTAATTTTGTAAGCCATTGTGTTATGTCTATTATATTAGTACATATGAATTATTATCTATGGAATACGTTGTCTATGTCTTATTTCACATGGACACCGGATAATAACAGATATTGGGCGTTCTCAAACGCCTCGATCAATGAGCCAAAATGTGTCAGAAGTGTGTCGGGAATTAAATTTTAATTAGCAGAAAGTATTTTTAATCGATCAAACATGCGTGCCATTAAGACATAACGTACAGTGTTACGACAAGGGAGAGACTTTCCTATTACATGCCAATTTAACTCTGATCGTAAGAATTAAATATTTATTCAAAAGCGAATAAGCGACAATAGGCAAAGAAAATCTGCCTTGATTTACAAAGAATAACCCTTTTTATAGTTATTCCATTAGACTCAATTAAGCATTACGCAAGAATAAGGTAATTAATTTAACAATGGTGAAAGTGTAATCATAGATACTAAAGTATGTGCGAAAGTTTAATAAAGTAACACTGATCATTTCGTATGCATAAAAAATGTAGTAATTAGGGGGTTTCAAAATTAAAATTAGAGAATCTTATTTTATTTTTTGGATTTATAATTCAACATAAAAAATGCGATTGAAAAAATCCTACTTATTTTCCAAAAGCGTCACTTATTTGTTAATTTTGAAACCCCCTATTATGTGCAAAAGTGTAATAAAGTAAATATGATAATTATTACGTTTTTCATAATAACGCTGATACTAAAGTTAGTTACGACATTTTGTCGTAACAACAGGACACATAACTTAGGTTTATTTAAGTCAAAGAAAAATTTTAATAATGAATAATTTGATCAGAGTTTATTATTTCAGTCAAAAAACTTTTTATCCGAGCCATCTTTTTTTTTGCATTGGTTTATAACTATTAAAGTAAATAGAGTTATAGTTCAAGCATTTTCATGTTTTTATTATGATATTCGTTATCAACAATTAACATAGTCCGTTATATTTATAAATCATTTAGAATTTGCTATTTACTTTGAGTAATTGAGCATCAATACAATTATTAGCAAATCACAGGAATAGTAATACTTGAGAATGTTAAGAGAATACGTAACTAAAATTACGTCATAATACTTGCGCACTGCAAATCGAAAATGTGTACCAGGTTGTGCTCCGGATGAGTCCGGAAATCGAGCCAAACGATCCAAACGATCATTAAT